TAAGGATCAATAAAAAAAATGAACTTGAAAATATTGAAGATTAAAATATGGGAAAAGCAATTAATATATATTTATTACTAACTTGTTCTCGTCCATCACGACAACTTTGAGGCCCGAGAAATTTGGGTTGGCCTGATATCGTGGAACTTTGGGCAGAAGTGGTAATTTGGATTCGTTTGAGCGTCCGGGATTCCCGAGTTTGACAATGAAGATTGCGGTGGTGCCCCTGCCAAGGCCTTCACTCTCGAGCCAAATGTGGCCTTCCATGAGATTTACGAACCTGATCATGCGAATTCAGATTAAAAGGATTAAAATGAACTGGAAACTAAAATAAAGCAAAAGGAGGTATGTTAATTAAATTCTGCAAGTTGTGTTAGAGAAAAGAACCAAGAAACAAAGGGAAGAGTTTTATTATTAACTAAATGAATGCTTTGCAAGATGATCAACAGGAAAAACCAAGGAAAAGACCAACGAGGAACTAATATAGGAATAACGATATCTGATGCCTTCCTCATCTAAGGAGGCTTTATTTATAGTTAGCTATACTACTATATATTAGGTAAGATTCTCTTCCATGATTGGTGCTATTTAGATCTGATTTTTGCATGATTTTTAAATCTGATTGATTCCTTGGATTTGGCCTGCGACTATAAACAATCCATGATTTTTGCCCATGACATGCTCCTTTTCTGTCAAAGTGAAACTAAATGTTTTTTTTTTTTTAAAAAGAGTTTATTATTAATCTAGATATGTATTGATAAAAAAAAGAGGGGACGCATTTCTAAAAAGAGAATGACTAACCATTGCGTTTCTAAAAAAGGAAGTGGGTTTAAATTTTCACTTATAGATTCCCATCTATTTTTACCAGGAGTAACACAAATGGTAATCTTTTTATAGTTGATAAAATAAAGATAAGATGAGGGATGGACCGAGATTTTCGGACCAAATGAAAAAATATTTCCATAAAATACCATGAATGAGAAATTTACCTCTTACAAATCGCAAGGCCTAGGCCACTACCGCCCGAGTTCTTGGCAGCAAGAGGCTGAGACTGCACGAATTTCGTGAAAAGCTTAGGAATGTCTTGCTGGTTGATTCCCAAGCCCGTGTCTTTCACCTAAACAATTAAAAAAGCAGTTATTAGAAACTTTTAACGAACTCCAAGACCATTTTCAGCAAAAACAAATCAATTAAATAGCATACAGAAAAGAAGAAGAAAAAAAAAAAAACCTACCTCTATGCGTAGATAGAAATGATTATCACTTGGGATAGGAAAAAAGTCGGGGGCCCGAGGATCTCTTAGTGAGTCCGATTTTGCCACAAAAGCAGTTATCGTGATACCACCTTCTTTGGTGAACTTAACTGCATTACCAACAACGTTTAGGAGAACTTGCATTAGCCGCTTTTCATCGCCAACGGCATACTCTGGCAGCTCAGGGGACATGCTCAGCGTAACATAGAGCCTTTTCACAGAGGCAATAGGCTTTATCAAGTTGAGTGCCTGCAAAAAGAAGCACAAATTTCTGTCTCAGCAAAGATCCAGCGCAGCATGGAATTAGTATGTTAATAAGTATAAGATGAAAAAAGTAATTGATGAAATATAAAGAATATAGTAAAAAATAATGATGTTATATGATTGGTGGTTAAAAATGCGTGAGGTGAGCATATGAATAGTGTAACTTAAGAGATGTAAAGATGATTTGATTCATTTGATCAATTTCTTTCCTTTTACTTTGTTCGAATGACTCAAATCCTTCACGTAGTTTCTAGCTTTTCAACATGCCAGACGCTTATAATTTCGCTCAAAAATAAATTATAATCTTAAACACAGTGATAAGGATGCTTCACATTTCTGTTTTCGCTTCTTGAACACGTTTTTCCTAACTTGTTGCACACAACATTAAAATCATTAACTCAACTTCTAATTCCGATTAGCAAAAGCTACCAACTTTGGATTTTAATAAAATAAAAAAAATAGAGAAAAAGGAATATACTATCCCCACCTCCTTGAAGAGCGTATGAAGGTCAAAAGGTGCAATCTCGAGCTGAAGACTACCGTCCTCGAGCCTCGAGAGATCCAAGACATCATTAATAAGGGTGGCCAAGAGGTTGCTGCTCTTGAGAATTGTCTCGACCATGAGACGTTGCTCGGGCATGAGCTCCGTCTCTTGAAGCAAAGATGAGAGGGCAATTATTGCGTGCATTGGGGTCCGCATCTCGTGGTTCATAACTGCCAAGAAATCGTTGCGGGCCCGCACGGCTGTCTCGGCCTCTCGTCTTGCCAGGTCGAGTGCCACATTCTGCTCCATTAGGAGGTCCCGAGCTCTCATCGACTCCTCCAGAATAGCAGCATGCGAAAGTGCAACAGCAACCTGAGTTTAAATAATAATAAAAATGGATACTTAGTTGGAGATGTCATTGTGAAATAATTACAAGAACATGCTCTTAAAGTTTTGGGGAATTACACACACGGACAACAAAATAATTTCCAAAAAGAAAAATTAGAAGATGCAATTGGTGAAATAGAAAGTTGTATCAAAGAAGATTAAACTAAATAAGCGTATTTTTTTCATAATTAATCAAAGAAAAAAAAATTGAATTCATTGCATACACTGTGAAGTGATATGTTAATTTATGGAAAAAGATGAAAACTTACTGCAACAATCAGACTAGGGCAGCACGGTCCAACACATGTTTCTCTATTTTGGAATATCATTAGAAGTTTCTTTCAGCAACACGGCTAAAACCATAAATATCAATAGCATACTAAGTTCGGCTAGACCTAACATGACAAATGCACTCGAAAACCCTCCAAACAGAAAAATATCACCTGATAACAAACAACACATTCGCTACCTAGAAAACTGTACACACATAATAATTCCAAAACCATCAACACATCATTATAAAGCACCCTAAAACACAATAGAGAAACAATCCCTACAATGCACATAAACCAATCTCACACAAACCAAGTTCATTTATTTCAATAACATTTAATTTCATTCTTTTTTCAGTTATAAAACCACGAACGAACCTGATCCGCCACCACCTCAACAAGCTCCAGCTCATGCATGTGCCACTGCCTAGCACTATCCGAGGGCAGCATCAGTACCATCAACGCGTACCTTTTCGTCGACAGCTCAGGCCAGTCGTGAATTTGAAAATTCGAAAGGTGAAGAAGCGGTACCCTCACAGCCACCACTTCCCCCGGCATATACTTCCCCACAGGCCTCAGCCTTGCCACAGCAGAGCTCGGCGATATCTTCACAGCCCTGCTCGTATTAAACACCTCGTTAATCACAGGCAGCTGTATAGGCACAGTGAACCCAACTGGATTCTGGTGCCTGAGCGTGTAAGACAGCTGGAGCTCCAGCCCAGCCCTAGTCGGCATCCACAGTGCACACTCTTCGAGGCCCAAAGTCCTCCCAAGCTCGACTAGCGTCGTTTTTAAAATAGTATGTCTGTCGAGAGTGCTTCGAATCTCGTGAGTCAGCATCCGAACGTGGCGGCCCGTTTCTTCCTGGGTCCGGATAAGGCCCATTTCCCGATCCAGCTCAGCCGCTTTATTTTTCAAGAAGAGCTCTCGGGTTTTCACGCTGAGTAAATCGGGGATTATGTGGACGAGCATGAGGGCAGTCGCGCACGAGACGACAGCTGTCAGGATCTTGGCCGTTGTCATGACGAGGGCCACTGTACGAGTGTGCATGGTGAAGGTCCAGAGGTTGATAAGGTGGGTGGCGCCACAGAGGACGATGAAGGCGCCAAACTGGACGAGGACCCAACGGTAAGGGAAAACGGCGGATTTCTTCACGAAGTAGATTAGTTCGAGGGGGATGGAGAAGTACGCGAGTGCTATGAAGAAATCGGATATGTATTGGTACTTCATCAAGAGCTCGTCGGCCGGCCATGGTGGCTCGATGCAGTTACAAAGCTCCATGATCGAAGAGAAAATTTGCTCGAGCACTTACTTTTTTTGCTTTTGTCTATTTAGCTGTGGGAACAAAAAATTAAAAAATAAAAAAACATACGATGGGAAAAATGTTTATAATGTATCCTTCAAGTTAACGATTTTTGCATTTTCATGCTTTTGTTTTGTTGGTAGTCTTGCAAATGCAAATTGCACAAGTACATAAAAGGAATTGATATGTTAATCAATCTAAAGTGCCGTTCCTATATTTGTGGGCTAAATATAAGTATGAAGCAGTATGGACTGGAGGGAGTATATAAAGCTATATTTAAGTGGAAGGAAGTTCTTGACAAGTATTACAATGCGGGACGATAAATAACATAGAGAAGGCCATAAATCGAGAAGTTTTGACTTGTGTTTCCAACTAGCATGACGCTAACAATGAGTTTGTTCCAGCTGTCGAACAACTAACAGTGGAATACGAACAGAATTCCATATCTCATAGATGCAATCTTTCTTCCATCCACAGCTTTACATGGAAAAGTTCGGCATCAAATAATGTGATTCAGCAGATGGTAAACAAATAAGACTGTGTTTTTTAAAAAAAAAAAAAAGAGAGAGAGAAAGAAAGAGAGAATTCACTTCATCCACTTCCCCTAGCTGAATGCTTATTTACGACAAACAAATTATCCGAAGTTTGCGAAAGAAAGCAACTAAAAGTATCTTTATCTATATGATTATAACTAAATAAGCAAAAGCAAGAAACCCATTTTATTTGCATTCTGACAATATGTCCTACTTATCCATTGCAAATGGAGCTGAAGAGTCATTGTTGACAATTCTCCTGGCATAGTGCTAATAATGGACTAGATCAAAATGGCTCAATAAAATTCTAGTGCTTCTTCTATTAGTGAAGTTTCTAGAAAAAAAATATATCAAACGGCGCAATGCACCTTGGGTCGCTACGGAAACAGTCTCCTTGTATAATTACAAGGGTAAGGTCTGCGTACAACTGACCCCCCAGACCCCAACCTGTTGGGAATATACTGGGTATGTTGTTGTTGTTGTTGTTGTTGTTGTCTGACAATATGTCCTATTTACTTCGCTAAATCCCAATTCCCAACAGCTAATATCTAGCTCAACTAAACAAATTGAGCATAAATAACATCCAAAAAACAAGACCTTTTGTGAACAATCCCCAAACCCCAATTACAATGAGCTTGGACATGAAATCCAAGTAAGCTCTCATATTTCATCCCCTTTTACATAAATTCGCACCATCTACAGAACAATTTCACACATCATTTCGAAGCTGAGACAATTTCACACATCATTTCGAAGCTGAGACTTCAAAAAGAAAATCAAGAACGAACCTCTTCACACTGAATCAGATCCAACAAACAAAACCCACACAACCCCGAGTCACAAAATTACAAAAAGCAGCAAACTTGAAGAAAATAAAAAAAGGATGGAAGACAATACAAGAGAAATAACACTCACCCAACATTTTCCGAGGCTCCCCGTGATGTCTGAGCACAAGAACTTTTTACCTTGGAGATGGAAAACAGGTTGAAAATGGAAGTGTCAAACATTAACAACAAAGTACATAAATACCAACTATGCAGTAGCATCTTAAAGCGTTGTTATTTTTATATTTAAGAGTCTTGTTTTCAAACAAGAGAGACGGAGAGAGAATGCGTCCCGGTTCCATGTATTGGAATGGGCGACGATAAAGTCAACGAGCTGTTAACGGTGTTGAGTGAAATTGAGATTTAGATCCGACGGTCAGCACTCGCGCGCGACTGTCACCAAGCTGTGAGGTTAGCCGAAAAGTGGGTGCGTGTGAAACATTGGAGAAACCAGGACGGAAACAGATGAGGCCCACTTTCTTTCTTTTTTGGGTGTAGTTTGGAGGATAACCGCAACAGAGAAAGGAAGTTGGGCCTCTACTCCAAATTGTCCAATATTCTTCGAGAAATTTATGTGGCTGGAATGTTTTATTTCACTTATATGAATTCAATTTTTTATTTGTATATTTCTAATTCAAATCTATATATTTATATATATATATATAATAAAAATTACTATTTACTACATTTAGAAAGTAATTCCCGCAAAAAAAATTAATTGTATACTATAAATAGAAATAAAAGATGGAGCACTAAATGTAATATTCAATTTGTTAGGTCAACTGCATAAATCTCGCCAGCGTACTAACCATGTTTTCAAAAACAATTTGTACAGAATTTTGTGATGCTTATCCTTAACATAATCTTAATAATTATTTTATAAGTCCAACCCATAAACATAAATTTAGGCGTGGATAGCTAAGAAAAAAAAAAAGATAATTTTTTAATTGAATAAGTAGTTCGGCCACAGATTTTCAGGCTAGCTAAATTTGAACTTAATTGAATAAAAGCAGTTCGGCCATAGATTTTCAAAATATTTTGTACGTCTTTTTTAATGAAAATTATTTTGTACGTTATTTTTAATGATAATTCGGGTATCTAAATATTTATTATGCATAAATTACTAAAAAAAAAAAAAAAACTAATTTCCAATACATTTTGTACTCACGTAATGTATTTTTGTATCATAATTCTGGTATCTAAATATTTGTTATGCTTGCTCGACGTGTACTTGCAAACAGTAAAAAAACTAATTTTCAAACTATATTGCACTCACATCTTTTTGGGAAATATGTTCGGCGTGTACTTGCACTCACATCTTTTTGCTAACGGTAAAAAAACTAATTGCGTGTATCCAAATACATGTTTTATGTTCTTTTATACAAGATAATTTTATATTATTTACAATTAAATATGCTCGACTGTTGGCTCCTCAGCATTATTTGTAAATTATATCACGTGTTAACCCACATTATTATTTAATATTATTTATTTACATCTTTAATTTATAACTAACATTTAATATTGTTTACCCGTGCATCGCACGGGTTACGCACTAGTTCAAACCTAAAAGTGCATTATTAATGGGATTTGCCAAATTGCTAATTTAATGGACCGTTGCATGTAATAGGATTTGCAAAGTTTTTATGAGATAACATGCAGATCTTAATTACACACAAACAAAATTGTTTCATGTGCAAAGCTACATAATCTAAACATATGTAAAATCGATTTTTTTTTTAACAAACCCAACGTTTTGTTTTTTTTCTCTTTGTACTCGCTTAAAAATTCGAGAATGGCGAAGAAAACTTCGAAAATGACATTTTGTAGGAGTTCACTCAGCCACGTTTAGTGCCGCAATATCGCAACACATAAGACCACCGTCTGCTAGGCCTGAGAAGAGACCTATAGCCGTCGCTAATTCATCGGGGTTTCCCATCGATGATCCAGCGTAGCTGCAGCCGTGCCGCTAGGTCGAAAGCTGTTATGAATTCCACCATCGACCACTGCTTAAATCACTTTGGCCGAAATTGGGGCTTTTTTTGTGAAATTGGGATTGAGAGTGAGGTGTTGTGTGTGCCGATGTGTGTCAGATTGACTTATTGGGCAAGATACTTCTGGTTTGTAATGGTGTATGTTCAATTGATGATATGTTTCTTAATTATATTAATGCTAAATGTTTTGCAATGACATATTTTCGGAGATGGTTTTTTGATGTTTTGATTATTTGTTAATGGTTTATTTCAAGTTTATCTTCAAGTATATATCTTGTTCTTTCTGCCATCATTCATGCAATATGTTTCATGAATCCTATGCAATCTACAACACGATTGAATTGAGTATATACAAAAAATAAACTTAAACGTTTAATTTACCAATATTTGATACCCACAAGCCACAACACTATNGCCCACATGTATATAGACATAGATATCATTATATACAAAAAAATAAACTTGAGTTAAACTCTTAATGTACTAATATAGATTATTTTTAGCATACTTATATCCTTTTACATCTTCTGGTAAAACCACAAACCTTCGAATATCATAGTAGGTTCTCATCAACCACAATAATAAAACTATTATTTTGGTTAATTTCAAGTTTATCTCTACTATATTTTATTATTTCTGTCATCATATCTACAACGTGTTTCGCGAATGAAGTCCACATCAATATCAAGTTCAAGAGGATAAACACACAGTGCTGAATCGATTTTCTAGCGAACTCGTAATTTTTCAAAATCAATGATAAGGAGTTTTTCCTAGTTGTCAAGGAACCGTCTACCATTTTACCACTTTGCTATCATCATCCACCCTCATAGGTGGAACCATCCTTCACTTGATACATCATCTTCAAATCACTTGATTTTGCGTTAATTTTGAGGTTATCAAAAACACTGTTTCGAAGCTCGTTGAAGCTGCAAAATGCACTAATCAAAATTTCTCCATCTTGATAATCGACGCATTCATTTTTAATCCAAACTCTGTTATGATGGATAAACAATATTAACTCGGATATTTTCCTGAGAAATAAATACATTCAAGGTTTAAACTACAACTCATGTAATATGAATTCAAAGAAACAAGACCAAACATAAACATACAAACACACAAAAGA